AAAAAAAAAAAAAAAAAAAAATATATATATATATATATATATATATATAGTTTATTTAAAAGCAAATTAGAGAGAGAGAGAGAAGGGAGAGAAGATTCACCTCCCCTAGGTGGGAGAGGGGACCAAAGCCAGGAAGCACGGCCACACCAGAGTCTAGCAAGGCAATGGCCAATTTTCTTCTTTTTTAACCTATCTAGTTTCCTTGATAACTTACATAAAAAGTATTATTATTATTAGTCTGTTTGTTTCCTTTTTTTTTTTTTTGAGTCGGGAGTCTCACTCTGTCACCCAGGCTGGAGTACAGTGACATGCTCATGGCCACTCCAGAGTCGACCTGCGGGCTCCAGCGATCCTTCTGCCTCAGCCTTCCAAGTAGCCAGAACTACAGGCATGCACTACCACACCCGGATAATTTTTTGATTTATTATAGAGATGAGGTCTTGCCAAGTTGCCCAGGCTGGTCTTCAACACCTGGTCCCACCTCCCTCCCTCCCTCCTTTAACAGTGTCCAGTGTCTGTTGCTCCCACCTTTACGCTCAACTTACATAAATATTCTAAGTATTCAGTTAAATAAATGATATCCAACTTTGAGCATCAATTGTTGTATGAAGCTGCAGCACAGAAAGGTTCAGGGGAAAGCAGGGGTGAGTTGATGAAACCTCGTTGCTGAGTGAGGTTGGGGCTAGGGACGTGTCCTGGGGTGGCAGGCCGTGACTCACCTTGCAGCAGGGGAGTGTTGGGTTCTCGGAGCAGCTGCCAGAACTCACGTTCCCCAACCACTTTTCCCATCACGGAGGTCAGGTAGGGGCCTGACAGGGTAGCCTGTGTTTCATACCTGAGAAGGGAAAAACAAAGAGAGAGAGAAGAGTTGACTGTTGTCCCCAAGGGGAGGAGTGGAGCAATCACCAGCAGTCCTACCCTCGCCCTCAGTGCCAGCACGAGCCAAGCCCTCCTGAGCCACCTCGCTGTGGGTTCTGGTCTCACCTCCACCCTTCTCCTCTCCAGCCCCTGACGCTGCCTGTTCAGGCTTCATCCTCTCCTCATTGGCCATGACCACGGCCTCCAGGAGGGGCACCTATTATGTTATCAACTCAGCAGTTGCCCTCTCTGGGGACTTCATGTTGTAGGGGATGAGAACCTGAAGCTGCTGGTGTCACACAGAAGATGCCACTGCGTAATGACAGAGGGTGAATCCAGCATCCAAAGAGAGGCAGGGACCTGGGCGGCAGGGGCTGAGACACCTGCGTTGACACTGGGTCTCTGTGGCTCGGTGGCGTGCCCCTCTTTTGGGGACTGGGTTGCTCAGTCTTCTCTCTGATTCTCTACACACCCCACTCCCCACTGGGGAGAAGATTAGAGCTCAGTTTCTGGCCCTGGCAACAAGAGACGCCTATTCACACTCCCCTTCCCTGAGCTCCTTGCCACCTGCTTTGTGTTTCTCCAACCCATCTGGACACCACTGGGTAAACTCCAAGGGTCATGCCCTTCCTCCCCAACAGGAGGAAGCAGCATGGATCAGGGCTCCACCTGGGAGAGCAGCTTGAAGAAGTAAGTGGGATTTGCCCATGGAGAAAGGAGAAACAGGAAGGCAGAGTCGAGAGGCAGTGGCAAGAACAAAGGCACAGAGGTGCATGGAACTGGGGGAGTTTTGGAAACTGATCTTACAAGAATGGGGTCCGAGAGCATGAGTGGGAGTGGTCAGCAGATGAATGGAAAGGAGGTGACACCATCAGAGGCACCTGGGGAGTGATGGGAGCATGTGGTCCTCTCAAACTGAGGCACATGTTACTAGGGGAGAAGTCTGGGGTCTGGGTGACCTGAGGGAAGGAGTTCAACTTCTCTGGGCCAGATTCCCCCTGAAAACATGGGAATCACTGTTATCCTAGTTAGGCATGGGCAGGGAAGGGCACTGAGCAGCACTCCAGATACACTCATCCCCAGACTTGTCTACTCTCAGGGTGAGTAGCAAGTTTTTGTTTTGTTTTGTTTTGTTTTTTGAGTCAGGGTCTCACTCTGTTGCCTAGGCTGAAGTTCAGTGGCACAATCACGGCTCACCATAGCCTCAACCTTCCGTGCTCAGGTGATCCTTCTTCCTCAGCCTCCCAAGTAGCTGAGACTACAGGTGCACACCACCACACTCAGCTAATTTTACAAATTTTTTTTGTAGAGACGAGGTCTTACTATGTTGCCCAGGCTGGTCTCGAACTCCTGGGCCCAAGCAATTCCCCTGCCTTGGCCTTCCTAAGTGCTGGGATTATAGGCATGAGCCGCCATACCCAGAGAGAAGCAAGCTTAAGAACATTGTCCAGTCTCCTTGGGGTAATGAATAACAGAAATGGACCAAGATATCTGATAATAAAAGTTCCTATTCTGATGAAAGCAAACCTGTATTGAGCACTCACTGTGTGCTGGACCCTGCACATGTGAAAAGCATGTGCTACCATCTCTGTGTGCACTAACTTCTGGACTCCTCCCCCTGGCTCTGCAAGAAGGGTAGCACAACTGATATCCTCCTTGAGGTGTGAGTAAACAACTGGTTCTGGGTTCCTAGCTGGAAAGCGGTGGAGCTGGGATTCCAGTTAGCAGAAGCCTGTTCCCTTAAGGACAATGATGGCCTATGGCTTCCTGTTTCCATGACAGTAAGGACAAGAAAGGAGAGAAGAAGCTGGAAGCTGAAGCCAGGCCAGTGCCTTTCCTGAGGGAACCCTCCCTCTGTCCCCTGTCCCTTCCATGACCTTTTTTCAGGAATGTGGTTTCAGGTGGGGCTGGGAGGAGAGGGGTCTCACGTGAATCCTCCTAGCTCCTGGGCCATCTTCAGCACGTCTTCCAAGGAGGACCCGGCAAAGACAAAGATGGATCGTTCATATGGTGGCAAGAGGCTGAGGACCTTCAGCGTGACACGGATGACTGCTGGAACTTGGGCCTGTGACAGGATCTCTGTAGCTTGTCCCAACATGACTGTGCCAAAGAGAAAGGAAGGGGTGGCTGGTGTGAGGACAGGTAGCCTGAATGTTAGTCCTCCTGTCTTCCCTCAGAGTCACTATGACCAGCTGGACCTTTCACTTCCCCATGTTCTCCATCTCAGAGAATGTCACCACCACTTGTCCTGCAAAAACCTGGCTGCCATCTCAGCCGTCTCTGTCTCTTAGCCGCCACATCTCTCACCACCAAGATCAGGCCCCTCACTGGTTTCTCTGCCTCCAGTATCCTCCCTCCCACCTGTTTGCCACACGGCACCCCAGAGGGCTCTTCTAGAACATGTCTTTGTTCACATCACTCCCCCGTCACCTCGAATGGTCTCACCTTCGTTACCTTCATCTGCCTGTCACTTCTACTCCTTCTCCCAGACCTACTCTTTTGCAAGATCCTTTCCCCAAAGTCCCCAAACTCAGTACACCTCTGTACCTTTGTTCCTGCTTCCTCCTCCAGGCTCTGCCCCCTTCTCCTTTTTCCACTGGAAAATCCCACTCACCCCTTCAAGTCCCTCTCCCGGAGGAAGGCTGTTTCACGTTGCTTCTGGGGCTGGCTTATCATGTTGCGTTAGAGTTCACCAAAATGTGTCTCTCCCCACTCATTCAAACATTTCTGTACTGGGTCTCCCACAAGGGGCTCACCCAGAGCTCTCAGGTGTCTTCCTTCCCACACTAGGAGGTTCTCAAAGTTCAGACCATATTTTAGCTGCTGTGTTCTACAAACACCCACAAACTCATTTTAACTCAGCAAATCAGGACCAAGCAACCTCCTCTCACTGGGACATGATCGTAAACAGTAAAGGCTTGGCTACCTCGTGGCGCCAGGCAGTCTGGCGAGATGAGATCCATGTAGGTCTTGCGGTTCAGCACAGGCAACAGCTGGGAAATCGTGAGAGCATTCTGGATGGCCCCATCCTGTAGGCTGGCCGACAGAGCAGCCCTTGCTTTGAGGCATGCTGTGCCCATCTCCTCCCCAGGAATGGGGGAGACCATCAGCAACTGGGGAAAGAGTGGAAAGAGGGAGGAGGTGAGCCAGAGTGGGGAGAGGCCAGGTCTTTCAGTTCCTGACCAGTCCACCTCCCACTGGCCCCCAGGGTGGCCACGGATCCAAGGTCTTTTTCCCACCTGCAGTGCCAGCGGGGTGCTGTAGACATTCCCAAAGTGGCCCTCTAGGGTCTGAGCATTCAGGATCTTATCTCGCACCGTCCCTATGGCCATGGCGATCCGGTGTCTCTGATCGGGGTTGAAGTTGAAGCGCTCCAGACAGGTGAAAGCCAAGCCTGCCATGGCCGCCATGTCTGCAGGGAATGGGGCATGTGAAGAGCTAGAGAGCCAAGAGGGGCCAGGCAGGGCCTTGGGGGTCAGGCCCTTGTGGCAACGGGCAGCCATAGGAGGGCTTGAAGGAGAGGGGCTACGTGGTCAGATCAGCTAGGGGCACCGACTTTGCCTGGTTTGCCCAGGGCTCTTCCCATCTAGCCACTGAAAGTATCATTACTAAGAAACTACTCTGCCCTGGACAAACTGATTTGGTTGGTACCTCTTCTCCTTGGAGGCTAGAGGCTAGGGAGAGATACTGGAGAAAGGAGGCCCAAGAGGACTTGAATCTACACCACTTGTTTGCAAACCTCGCTGCACACCAGGGGAGTTTTCACCAGGGGAGTTTTCAACCAGCTGATGCCTGGATCCACCCCCAGGTAGTTTGATTTAATTGATACAAGAAGCTTTCTGAGCCCTGGGGATTTTTAAGACTTCCCCACATTCCCAGGTTTTTTGGGGTTTTTTTTGAGTTGGAGTCTCACTCCTTCATCCAGGCTGGAGTGCAGTGGCATGCATGCTCATGGCCACCCCAGCGTCGACCTTCTAGGCTCCAGCGATCCTTCTGCCTCAGCCTTCTGCGTAGCTGGGACTACAGATGCATGCTACCACGCCCAGCTATTTTTAAATTTTATTGTAGAGATGAGGTCTCACCAGGTTGCCCGGGCTGGTCTTGAACCCGCCGGCTCAGGCAATCCACTCGTCTCAGCCTCCCAAAGTGCTGGCATTATAGGCTGAGCCACCAAGCCCGACACTTTTGTTTTTGTTTTTTTTTTTTAGAGGCAGCATGTTTATTGGTGATACAATTATCATTATTATTTTGAGTTGGAGTCTCACTCTGTTGCCCAGACTGGAAAGCAGTGGCATGCTCCCGGCCACCGCAGCCTCACTTTTTTTGTTTTTTGTTTTTAAAGACATGGTCTCTGACCGAGTACAGTGGCTCACACCTGGAATCCCAGCATTTTAGGAGGCCAAGGCTGGAGGATCGCTTAAGGCCAGGTTTTCAAGACCAGCCTAGGCAACTTGGTGACCTTGCCTCTCCAAAAATTTTAAAAATTAGCTTATGTGGTGGCACACACCTCTAGTCTCAGCTCCTCTGGAGGCTAGGAGGTGGAGACTGGAGACTGTAGAGAACCATGATCATGTAACTGCACTCCAGCCTGGGCGACAGAGTGAGATCTTGATTCAAAAATTAAAATAAAATAGACACAGGGCCTCGCTCTGTTGCTCAGGTTGGAGGGCAGACGTGTGAACAAAGCTCACTACAGCCTCACCTTTTGGGCTCAAGCAATCCTCCTGCCTCAACCTCCTGAGTATATTGAAGCACAGGCAAGCACCACATGCCTAGCTAATTTTTAAAAAAATGTTTTGTAGAGATCTCAAACTCCTAGCCTCCAGCAATCCTCCTGCCTCTAGCCTCCCAAAGTGCTAGGATTTCAGGTGTGAGCTACTGCACCCAATCTCCCCCAGGTTATTTTAATATGTCCACAATAGTTTTCTACAAGCCTGTGAGGCAGAACAAGCTCCCTGCTGGCAGGGGCTCTGCTACCTTTTTCTCTGTAGGCACCTGGCCCCCAACCTACTCCATCCTACCCCCAACCTATGCAAGGCGCACACACATTCACTCGTGGAATGCCGGCCTAGAAGAAACCTTGAAATCACAATGCTGAAAAACAGAAATGGAGGCCCAAGGTCAGACAGTGAAGAAGACCCAGAATCCAAGTCTCAGGCTTTCCAGCTCCTATGATGCTAAGGTCAGAACTTTCCTCGGACCAGGCACAATGCTAAGCCCTTTACTTGTAAGGCATCCTTTACCAAGATGCTGATGGGAGGCTATTTTACAGAAGCAGAGCCAGAGAGGCCACCTGACTTGCCCAAAGCCTGTTCAGTGAGCGTGTGAGGAGCTGGGGCCAGGATTTCAATCCAGGTCTAAAGCTGGCTCACAGCAGCGGTACCACCCATGAGCCCTCACCATTTCACTCCTCAAGGACTTGAGAAGGAGTGGTCCCAAGGAAAGGTGAGTATGGGGCCCAGGCATGGAGGTCTTTGGCAGGGGCTGGGGGTTTTGGCAGGGTCTGGCCCACTCACCTACAGAGAGGTGGTTCCGGTGTAGGTGGTCGTGTAGGTGGTCATGTTCCACAGCATACAGGAGCTTGCCTACTACGTGGTCATGGACCCGCTTCTGGTGCACACACAGAGCCAGGATGCCCAGACCGTACTGGTAGTAGCTGGTGTGGGGGTGGCCATGGTGACTGTGCCCTTGGAGGAAGAAAATTCAGAGGTGAGGGTGGAGGGATTGCTTCTCTGCCCCTCCCTGCAACCAGCCCCACCAGCACATGGGACCTCACTGCCTGCACTTCCCAACGGCCTCTTTTGAGCCATGGGATCCTTCATTCCTTCATTGCCACAACCCATACTTGCTGAGACCCCACTATGTGAACCAGAGAGACCACCCGACTTGCTCTGACACTATGTATCAGGAGCTGTGCTTGGAGGAGACATTAGAGCAATGGCAGCCAGGCTCTCTGCAGATGAGGCCAAGGCCATTACAAACTCGCTCATGAGACCACAACTGTCCCTAAAATGTAGACCGAGGTCTGTGGAGACCTGTAACAGAGATCTTTGGGTAGCTGGGAGGTCAGGGCAGGAATCCCCAAGAAGGTGATGCTGGGAGAGAGGAGGGGAGAAAAATGTGAGGCAGAAGTGAACTAGAAACTGGAAAGCCAGTCCAGATGGAGGGAACATGTATGAGGATCCTGGCTTGCAAGCTGAGAGAGGACTGGTGTGGCCAAAGCCCCTGGAGGGCGGGTGAGCAAAGCCAGGAGAGGAGAAAAGGGCAAACGGGTTGGGCTTGAGGGCTGTGAACTGAGCAGGGTTCAAGCTGTGCTAACAAGCTCAGATTTATGCTAAAAAACTCGCCTCTAGCTGTTGTGTGCTGGATCATGTTAGGAGGAGGACACTAAAAGAGTCAGTCCAAGAAGTAAGTAGTAAGGAGGCTGTGCAGTTGTCCCGAAGATGACAATCTCGGTGGCTGAGCAACAGGACTTGTCAGCAGAGTGCATGTGGGAGTGCTGGCAAGGTTGGATCAAGGATGGCTACTAGAGCAAGTCCAGGCCTCAAGGAAGGGATAATGACATGGGCAGAATGGAAGGTGGGAAAGAGGCCTGGGGAGAAGACTCAACATTCTTTTTTTTTTTTTTGAGTTGGAGTCTCACTCTGTCGCCCAGACTGGAGTGCAGTGGCACGCTCCTGGCCACCGAAGCCTCGACCTACTGGGCTCCAGTGGACCTTCTGCCTCAGCCTTCCAGGTAGCCGGAACTACAGGTGCGCGCTACCACACCCAGTTAAAGACTCAATATTCAGAGTCTCACCAGAGAATGTCATCTGATGAGCCCTCCCAGTTGCTACCCACACCCAGCAGATGGTATCCCCTCACCGATGGTATTCTTCTCGTCCTCCAGGAACCGCTTGAGCTGTGAGACCAGCCTGTCCCCCTTGCGGCCCTTGACAGACTCACAGTTGGCCCTGAGAGCAAGCAGGTAGAGGGCCAGCTGGCCCATGGAAGGTGTGACCTGGCAGTCCCTGTTATCATCACTGGAGGCAGACCTAGGACAACACAAGTTAACACCATTAGGAGAAAGTGCCACCCTGGTAAGCCTGGCTTGGGCGCACCCTGTCAACATCACAAAGTGGAAAAATCCTAACAGTTGGAAACTTTGCTAGAACTGCTGAAAGTAGGTGTACTAGCTATGTTGGTGCAAGGGATAAGTCATAATATTTAAGAAAGATGAAAGATTAAGCTCAAGGATACACTGAGGGCTCTTGCATCTGAGTCACCTGGTCTGCTCTACCATTCTGGTCATGCTTCACCCAAATACGAGATCTTCCCTTTCTCTCCTCTCCCCATCCTGCATCCACTTCTTGAGAGGTAGTTCAAGCAGGAGGCACTCCATGCTGCTTATGAGTCTTCATCTTTCATTCAAACCCCAGAACAGACCTCTCCTTCATGTCCCTTGGAAAGGGAGCACAGAAAGATGCTGCTTTTGAGCTCAGTATGAAAGAGTGTGGTCATGGATTAGTGATATCTACCTCAGGCACAGGAGGAAACAGTAGCAGCACAAGAGCCCTGGGTTACTATCTCTCATCTAGTCCAACCAACCCCTTCATTCTACAGATGGAGACAGGTTCAGTGGAGACAAAATTTGCCTAAGGTCTGGGGCCAAAGCAGTGGCATGCCCAAGTCTTCTATGTCTTAGGATGTGGAGAAAGACATGGGAAAGAAGAGTGTGGAATACCCTAGGAGGCACTGCTGGTAATGGAGCTTGAGGCTGTACAGGTAGAGGTCCTCCTTGGTCCCGGCCTGCAGACTGGAGAGGCGCAGGCCCACATAGATGCTGGGGTTCAAGTGCTCCAGGGAGAGCTGGTCCATCCAAGGCAAGAGGCGCTGGCCCAGCTTCTCTACTAGCTGACTGTCCACCTCTGATATGTCTTGGGAATGAAAATGGTACAAGTGAGGTTGCAGAGCCAGGCCAACAGAAAGGAACTGCTCTGATGTTACCAGGGCCTTCCCCAGGGACTACACACATCCCTACCCCCTCTTCCCCCCAGCACACTCCACCTGCAGGAGGACAATGCAGCCATACTGAAAGGCAGTGGGAAGGAAAGGGGGGAAAGCAGGTATCCCAAAAGAGCAGTTGGAGCGAGTCAGGGAGAGATGTAGGCTGGAGGCAGAGGATGCTGTTGCCAAGCAACCACTCCGCCCATCAGGGGTGACAGCAAAACTGGATGCCCAGCTGTGGAGTATGCCCCAGGCACCGTGCCCAATCTCACTTGGTCTTCATGCAGTCCTGTGATATAGACACTATCATCATTGCTTTGCACAAAAGAGGAAACAGAAGTTCAAAGTCGTGTCATGTCTTACACGAGGCTGCAAAGCCAAGGACAGACCTGGCTGCCAAGCCCCTGCTCTTAGGTGCTCTGCTGAATGTGTGTTCTACCCAGTTACAAAAGTCAGCCCACATGCAGAACGTGCTACACAGCCAATTTTCAAGCACCGCAGACTGCCAACTAGTTAGCTGGGACTGCCTGGTGCACTTCCTCCATGCACATCTCAAAATAACACTTTTCCTGCCATCTCTGTTTAGGTGAAGACGACCTGAGATTGTGAGTCAAGTTCTGAGAAAACTGTCAAAGTCTGCAGCCATGTGTCTGTGCTGTGGGATTTCCTTGAAGCTGTACAGTCAGAATCCTGACACACGAAAGCAGAAGTCTCGGGGAGATTTCCCAGCTCCAGCTAGATGCTGCTTCCTCCCTAGGGGAAGGGAGCAGAGCTCAGCTCAGGGGAGCTTGCAGTAGGTTGCCTTGGAGGCACTTTGGACTGTCTGTCCCCATTTACTGCCTCCCAGTTGCTGCTGGGCTCCAACTGCCCAATGGTGGCCTCCACTGTGCCACATTCTAGGATGCTAGGCAGGTCGCCTCTCCCAGGGGACTAAACAAACAAACATGCAGAGTGCCTTGCCCGCCTCCTGGACCAGGGTTCCTGGAGCACAGCACCATCTCTCTGGCTTTGGGCCCCATCAACTCATGTTTGTCCCCAAAGTCACAGATACATGTTGCTATAAGGTGACCATTCACTGGCATGAAACTCAACATAATCCTTTGCTGTGTGGGCCCAGGTCAGAGCACATGGCTGGTTTCTCATCAAATGTTAATTCAGAGAAACTGGTTGGGACTTTTGACTAATGTTTCAGCCCCTCTGGGCATAAACAGGGGAACAGGAAACCCAGAGCTGCCCACCCTACCAAAGATGTATCGTTGGGGATGTTCATCATGGCACTGTTATTAAGAAAATCAGGCTGGGCAAAGTGACTCACTCCTGTAATTCAAGCACTTTGAGAGGCCAAGGTAGAAGGATCCCTTGAGGCCAGGAGTTTGAGATCAGCCTGAGAAGCATAGTGAGATCTTGTCTCTACCAAAAAAATAAAAAAATTAGCTAGGCCTGGTGGCGTGCACCTGTAGTTCCAGCTACTCGGGAGACTGAGATTGGAGGATCACTTGAGCTCAGGAGTTTAAGACTGCAGTGAGTTATGATTGCACCACTGCACTCCAACCTGGGCAAAAGAATGAGACCTTATCTCTAAAAATGTGTGTGTGTGTATACACATATAATCCAATTTATATAAAATTTTCCTTTTCCCTTTCAGTTAGAGCCTTTCTTTCTGTTTCCATTTCTCTCCCTCTCTCTTCCCCATCTCCTTTCCTTCTCCTCTTCTCCCTCCTTCTCTCTCTCCTCAATCTCTCTGAGACTCTCTGGGTCTGTCTGTCTCTCCCAGCCTCTCTCTGTTCCTCCTCACCTCTCTTTCCCTCTCCCTTTTCTTGAAACTAGTAAGGGAGCCTCTCACCCCTTACTAGCCCTCTCATTGAGCTTTGACCTCAAGCACAATGAGTCAGCATAGGGTTAGAAGTAATAAGACAGGGATCTGGCTGTAAATGGAGGCTGATGACCATAATTCAACCTCCTCAGAAAGAAGGAGCCAGGCAGATTCACTAGGGTAATAAAAAGAAGGCCAGTCAAGCCCATCAACTGAGGACTGATTGGGTTGACGTTCAGAAGCACAGAAGCCCACCCTGCATTCGCGTTAGTGCAGTAATTCCTGTCAATTTCAAACCATACAGAGCTTTACGCTGGAAAACCAAGTGTCGTAGGATCCTTCTGCACACTACACCAAGGAGGAAGACAGGGAAGCATTCCTGAACCATTTTACAAATGAGGGGATAAAGCTGGGTGCAATCAAGTGACTTCGCAGCAGTGAGCTGTACCCCAAGCCCCAGATCAAGGTTCTCCAGATCCTGAGGGAAGAGGGCTCTTGTGGGGTCAGGATAATGGGCTAACCGTTCAAGGCTGAGGATGGGATGGCCAGGTCTGCAGGATGGAAAGTTCTGGCTGGTCAAACCCAGGTTTCTCCTGGGGACTATCTAGACAAAAACCAAGGGCCCAGAGCTGAGGGGCCTGATGGCCAGAGCCCTCTGGTGCCCAGGGAAGGCCCTGGTTTGGAGTTCCAAGGACGAGTTCAACGAAGCTCTGGTGAAGCTGGAGCAGCTTCAGTGGTCACTTGGCCCCTCCAAACCTTGGTTCCTTCATCCAACACCCTGACATGACCATCCCTGCCTCTTGGGATTTCCCTGGGATCACAGGAGACCATGTGGGAAGGCATATCACGGAGCACAGTCCTGTGAGAGAGGAGAGGGCAGGCATTCCAGAGTTCTGAGCCCTGCCTTCTGCCTCCTCCTGGCCCCGACACATGAGTGGCCCTGGGCCTGCATGCTCCTTCCCTTGCTGGCTCCTTTTCCTCCTTTGGGTCTCAGCTCCTGTATGGACCCCTGGTCCTCAGAGATCCTTCCCCAGTCTCCCTCCCTGAATCAGTATCTCCCCCTGGACTTCCCCCACAGCTCTCTACCTCTGCCCTTCATTGGCTTCCTTTGCAGCACTTGCCATAACCCAGTTTGTCACTCGGTTTCTTTTGTCGGCCCCCTTCACTAGAACATAAACTCCAGGAGGACAGGGACTGAACCTGTCTCGCTCTTTGCTCTCTTCCCCAAGACTAACACTGGGCCTATACCGAAAAGACTCAGTAAGTATGCATTGAATGAATAAATGAACAAATGACTGAATTAATGGAGGGGATCTTGTCTGAGGAGTCAGACATATCAATCTTAATACTATGTGCCAAACACTGAGGTCCAGCTAAGCCCAAACAGCTGTGGGAGCCTACAGGGGTGGATAAGTTCCCCCATCCTACTCCTGAGTCTCAGTTTCCCCCAGAAGATTGGATAAGACGATCTTCCCTCCTATGGACCCAAGAGGAAAGAGGCATGGGGTAGAGGCAGGTTACTCACCACAGATCTCAGCCAGAGCTCCCAGGGCACCCAGGAGGAAGAGGAAGGCCCCAAGGTGCCCCATGGCAGGAGCAGGTGGGCGAGTAGTGGGCGGGAAGCGGGACAGACTCCTAGGGCCGGGCTTGCAGAGGCTCTTCCGACCACAGCCAGTCACTGCTCCAAGAGTGGCAGCTTCCTGTCACTGATTAATCCTCCATACCCCAAGTGCACTGCTAAGTCAGCAAAGAGAAAGGGGAAAAGGTCTGTTGTTGAGAGGAAAAGGCAGCCAAAGAACAAAGGAAGGAAGGGCAGAGCAACCTTCCTGGAGGTAAGGGACAAGGGGAGGAGGAGGGCAAGGAGGATCATGTGAGACACCTTGAGGCCAGTCACCTTTGGTCCCCGCCGCTTAAAGAGCCCTGGTCCGGTGCAGAGAGCCTGAAGTCCGATCTGCCCAAGTGTGTCCCACTGTGTCTGTGTGGCGTCCCCCTAGCTGTTCCGGCAGTGAACTGGCACAGCTGGGGTGCTCCTCATGGAAGAAGCCCCTGGAAGTGTCCACCCTGGCCCGAAACAAGGAGCGGAACAGGGAGCTGCAGCTGCGGGGATCACATGAGCAGGGCGGCAGAAGTCAGCTGTTCTCCAGCACCCGCCTGCTGGAGGGTGGGGAGCCGCTGGACCCAGACCAGTTGGGTCAGTTTTCTCAGCCAACCCGAAAGAGCCCGGGGACATCCTGGAGATGACAAAACAAAACAAGTTAAAGATTGGGATTTAATCAATCGAGACAAAAAGCACAGGAAGCTGGGCCGCTTGCCAGAACTAGGAAATTCACTGCAAAAAAATTGCTGCAAAAAGGAGAGGGAACAAAGGACTCCTCATCTGCCCAGCCCTACAGGAGAATCAATGTATAGAAATTAACTAGCAGTGGCTGTGTGAGCTTGGCCAGATCACTTAACCTCTCTGAGTTTGAAATAGTTCCTTCTGTGTGAGCACCTCTAATCATAAATAGAAGTTTTTTTTTTTCTTTGAGAGTCAGAGTTTCACTATGTTGTCCAGGCTGGGGTGCAGTGTCATAATCACAGCGCCACAGCCTCGACCCACTGGGTTCAGACGATCCTTCCATCTCAGCCTTCCAAGTAGCTGGAGCTACAGGTGCATGCCACCATGCCTAGCTAACTTTTTTATTTATTGTAGAGATGAGGTCTCACCAAGTTGCCTGGGCTGGTCTCAAATGCCTGGGCTCAGGCAATCCTCTCGCCTCAGCCTCCCAAAGTGCTGGGATTACAGGTGTGAGCTATCATGCCCAACTCCAAATAATTGCAATTATTTTATGGCAAATTGCCATGTTTCATTCTTTCGAGATAATCTATTTTTGTGCCTGATTTATCATAAGTCAAGCTCTTGACATAGATAAATATAGAGATGTATGTTTACTTGCAGAAGTATTTGAAAATTTAAAATAAGATCGTCTAGTGAAGGAAGGCTGGGTGTGCCTGGAAGGGGGAGAACCTTTAGAGGTTCTCAGGAAGGAGAGAGGCCAGCCAGGGGTCCAACTTCAGCAGAACTGTGGATTCAGATCTTCTGGGGAGCCATGCTGGGGTGTGTGCAATGACACTTCCTTGGTCCTGGATGCTCTATCTGTTCCGGTAATGGTGATTTTGGTTCTTGCTCTTCAGGGCATCCTGGAAGAGGTGGCCAAGGCAGAGGGTCTTCCTATTGCCAGCCTCTGGTGAGAAGCAAGGGCACTGCAGTGAATTAGACAGACACCCCCTATCCACCTGCCTGGACTCAGTACTGGGGGTGGGGATGGAAGGTAGAAGGATAGAAGATTTCCCATAGGCATTAGAAATAGTGACTGATGGGAGTGGATCTGAGCTGCTTTTGTTCATGTGGCCAGGGAAAGTGAAAAAGAAAAATGATCAAATTGTTCAGATCAGGATTTCTACTGGGGGGACTGTAGCTGATAATGTGAAAACCAGCTTGGAATGAAAAAGCAAAACCTGCCTGTTCTTGGATTAGACAGGCATACCAGGCGCAGATCAAGCCAGTTGCAACATTGACAGGAAACATCATTTCTAACAAGTTCATGTATGCTGCAGCTGCGAAGTATCCTAATAACCAGGTTCTATTTGTTACTAGTGACTACTACTTTTTTACTGAGATTTCTTTTTCCCCCAAACACCAAACTATAAGAAATTAGCTGTTTGAAATCATAATAGTAACCATGTCCTTTGAGTGACTACTACTTTTTTACTGGGTTTCTTTGTTTATTCCCTAAACCACAATTGTCAGAGATTTGCTGTTTGAAATCTTATTAGTAAGAACAAGCACACCACTATTCCCTGGAAGAGGTAAGCTACTTTGCTCTTCATATAAGAAGCAGCAGTCTCAGATAGGAGTTTCTGGGTGTACTTGACTGTCCAGACCTGAAACTGATGCTTCACACACCGCCCTGTGGTGCTTTGAGCCTATGTGGCTGGAAACATGGCTTGGTATACACCTCACCTAACTCCACCCTTCCCCTACATCCTTCAATCACCTTTCCCTTTGTTTCATAGTTCTTCTGCTGGGTGGTCTCCCTCATTGCAATGGGTCAACTAATCTGACTTGGTTTGTTCCTGACAGTCTTAGGCTGATTGACCTAGAAAATAGCCTAAGAAGTATCCAAAAGAGTAATAGAAAACTCTATGCATGAAGATGGCATGAGAAGAATGGATATAACCATTTTAGGGATTAAAAATGTACATATGTTAACATTGTATTTTAAAGGCCACTTGACATGAAAATACTTTTCTTTTTTTTTTTTTTTGAGAAAGCATCTCGCTCTGTTGCCCAGGCTAGATTACAGTGGTGCCATCATATCTCACTGCAGCCTGGAACTCCTGGGCTCAAGTGATCCTCCTGCCTCTGCCTCCTAAGTAGCTAGGACTATAGGCACATGCCACAACACCTGGTTAATTAAAAAAAAAATTTGCATGTGGAGATGAGGTCTTATTATGTTGTCAAGCATGGGGAAAGGTGTTTATCATGAATCTTAAACTTTTTTTTTTGAGTCAGAGTCTCACTCTGTCGCCCAGGCTGGAGTGTGGTGGCATGCTCATGGCCACCACAGTCCCGACCTGCTGGACCTAGGCAATCCTTTCATCTCAGCCTTCTAAATGGCTGGAACTACAGGCGTGCATCACCACACCCAGCTAATTTTTTGATTTATTGTAGAGATGAGGTCGCGCCAAGTTACCCAGGCTGGTCTCAAACCCCTGGGCTCAGGCAATCCTCTTGCCTCTGAATCCCAAAGTGGCTAGAATTACAGGCATGAGCCAACACATCTGGCCTGAATTTTTTTTTTTTGAGTCAGAGTCTCACAGCCACTGCAGCCTCGACCTGCTAGGCTCAGGTGATCCTTCTACTTCAGCCTTCTAAGTAGCTGGAGCTACAGGCACGTGCCACCATGCCTGGCTAATTTTTTGTTTTATTGTAGAGATGAGGTCTCACCACATTGCCCAGGCTGGGCTTGAACCTGTGAGCCAGGCAATCCTCTTACCTCAGCCTCCCAAAGTGCTAGGATTATAGGCATGAGTCACCGTGCCCGGCCTTAAATCTTAAATTTAAAAAATATCTAACACACGTTGATTGCATAAAAAAGTTAGAAAATACAGGTGTGTTAAGGAGGAAGAAGGAGAAGAGGAGGAGGAAAGAAAGAAGAAAAAGAGAAAAAGGAAGCAAAGGAAAAGAAAATCAAAGTCCCAAAAATTAGAGTGATGGTTCTCGAAGTGTAGTCCTTGGATGACTGGCAGTCTCCAAGGCATTTTTAGGGCATCTGTGAATTCAAAATTACTTACAAAGTAATACAAAGGCACCATTTGTCTATTTCACTGTTTGGGCATTTGCACTGATGGTGCAAAGCAGTCTAAAACTGCTGGTTGGTGCCTTAGCATGAATCAAGGCAATAACACAAACTGCACTGATAGTCACTATTATGACCTCTATGCACTCCACAGAGCTGAAAAAGCTGGTTTTGCTTAGCATGTTCTTGCTAAAACAACAGCAATTAGCGTATTAAATCTCAACATCAACAACTACAATAAAAGTTCACCCGAGCTCCAACCTGTGGCATTTGGCAATTCACTTAACTTTTCTAAACCAATTTGTTTATAAAATAGGAGTGTAACACCTTGTTCATAATTTCTTTATTTTTTTTCAACTTTACTGGGATATAATTGACCAAATTGTATGCATTTGAGGTATACAATGTGATGATTTGATATACCTATACATTGTGAAATGATAACCATACTCAAGCTAACTAACATATTCATCAGGCAACCCCTTCGGGTCCCCTCCCACTGTGGGAGTTTTTCTGTCCTCTCACTAAATCCTGCTTTCAAAAAAAAAAACCCAAAAAACATATTCATCATCTCACTTAGTTACCTTGTGCATGCACATGTGTGTAGTGAGAAAACTTAAGCAAATTTCAAGTATACAATACAGCATTAAACTATAGTAATCACTCTGTACATTAGATCCCCTGAACTTATTTGTCTTGAAACTGAAAGTGTGTACCCTTTGATCAATATCTTTCCATTTTCCCAACTTATCCTACCGCCAGCGCCTGGCAACCACCGTTCTAATCTCTGCTCTCAGTTCGAATTGTATGGGTTCTTATGGGGATCGAATGTGAATTGCTTGTAAAATGCCCAGCACAGTGCCTGGCATGTGGCTTAAGCTCATTCCATTGCAGCTCTTGTTAATAGCTAACTATCAAAACCCAGGAAAGAAAACCCAGTGTTCACTTAGCAAGTTTCTAAATTCTAAGGATCTGGATTCTAGCTAAGGAAGAGAAAATGTCCCTGCATGTGGCACAAGATAGTTTGACCATCTTAAGCCAGGCAATGCTGGGAAACATGAGACAAGACAATCACAGGATCTGAGTTATCTTGTCTGACAGCCTTCCCTTCTCTCTCCCCGTGTCCTCTCCCTGTTCAAGCACCAGCTATCCTCTCCAGGACACCTGGAGGGCACACACTGGATTCTTCCTGGCAGGTCCCACACAGGACAACTGCCCAGACTTACCCTTGGAACAGTTGTAAGGTTTTTGTTTTGTTTGTTTTGAATCAGGGAGGCTGAAGTGCAGTGGCACGATCACAGCTCATCATAGCTTCGACCTCCTGGGCTCAGTCGATCCTTCTGCTTCAACCATCTGAGTAGCTGGGGTTACAGAAATGTGCCACCATGCCTGGCTAATTTTTTTATCTTTTGTAGAAATGAGGTCTCGCTATGTTGCCTAGGCTGGTCTCGAACTAGTGGGCTCAAGTAATCCTCCTGTCTTGGCCTCCCAAAGTGCTGGGATTACAGGTGTGAGCCACAGCGCCCAGGCAGAAAGTGTTTTAAATCTGCAGGATCCTCTCTGAAGCTCTGAATCCAGCTCTAAAATAAATATTGAGCCCAGCTTTCTTTTCTTTGCCACTTCTCTAGCCAAGTAGTGGGTTCTAGGCAG